GGAGGGAGAAGAGAGAAGAAGGCCTCGTTCTAATACAACACTTACACTTACAATTGCTTTTCATACAGCCGTTAGATTGGATCCAACGGTGTTCTCATGTTATGTTCTCACATAAGCGTTCTCACTAGATCCTGACCCTAATTTTTGTCCACATTATTTAACAACTTAGGGCTCATTTGGTACACCGTATTAGACTCTGGATAGGAGTAAATAGTCTATGTCAGGTGTTTGGTGTGAACTTGTATTATTTAATTTCCTGACTATTTTATACGGATTGGGCTTTTAATACTCTCCTTACTTGACTAATTAATACAACCCACCTGCGGCCGCGAGCTGAGTCACGGTCATGCGACCGTCGATCTTCTTGCTCGGCTCTTTTAGGGCTAAGAGAGCGCCGTCGACGTGTCTGAATGTGACGAAGCCGTAGCCCCTGGATTTTCCGGTGACCTTATCAAGGATGACGATGGCCTCCTCGAGCTCGCCGTAGGCGGAGAACAGAGCGCGGAGGCCCTCGGTGGTGGTGTCCCAGCCGAGGCCTCGGATGAAGAGCTTGCGCTGAGAGGCATCGAGATCGGCGATCGATCGGACGGCGTCAAGGACGTCCACGTGGCGGGTGACGGCGTCTTGGAGAATGTCGATGAGTTGATCGGGGTTGAATCGCTCAATGAGCTTGCGAGCGTCTTCGGGGGAGAGTTTGGGGATGGAGGAGGGGTCGGTGTCCAGAACGACGCCGTTCTCGTCTAGCTTTCGCTTCTTAGATGGATCCATTGGAGAGAGAGAGAGGAGAAGATAAACCCTAACCCTTTGGATGAGAAACAGAGAGAGTACAGAGTGAGGGTTGTGAATCTTGTGACTGCGTATTCGGAGGGGTTTGCTTTGATTCTTCTGTGTAGTCCATTTTTATATATTGGTTTGCACAAGGGATGGGCTGCTGTCAAAGAGCGACCTTGGGTACGTTGGGCTTCTTAAGAGCCCAAATCGAGATAACTTGCTCCCTTTAACTTTACTAGTTGTAATGGCCCATCAGCCCATAATCATTGCAACAGGCCTCTTTCGAGTCCAATTTCCCCTTTTCTAAGCTCCATCGGTGCATTGTTGACCAATTCCCTGATATCTTAAACATCTAAACATCTAAACATCCAGACATCTAGGGCTAGTGATTGACTAGCACGGTACTAGAACTTGGTTTGTAAGATGTCGTGAGTTTATTCTTGATGAGATCTTGTTCTCTAGTTCTTTATTGGTTTCAAAGTGCATGGTGTGACTGCACTTATACGTTTGTTTCTCTCTTGATGAAATGTATTTTCATATGTTTGTTTCTCTCCTTTTCATGTTTTGCCTCCCTTTAAATGGTAAGGCCATAATTTTTGTCCACATTATTAAACAACTTTTAATGTATAATTTTAGTCCACATTATTATGGGAGACGAGCACATGTGCGACTCGTCTTTGCAAAATCTGAATGGTATATATATTTGGGCCAAGGCCCAAGCCGTTTTGTTTTGTCGAAAAGGCGGATACCAATTGAGAGCTCTAAAATCCGCGTTTTTTTGCAAAACGGGTCTGGTTTGCCTGCACCCTCGTCTCCCTTATCTTCCACCTTGAAATGCCGTTCTTTCACCTGTAAGTTGGCTCTTCTCTCTCTTTCTTTCTAGAAGATTAACGCATTTCTTGAAAGCGGTTTCCTGCACATTATATTTCTCTTCTTGCCCATTTTCTCAATCACCTCAAAAAATTGAGACTTTAAAAGAAATTAGAGAAAAAGCAAAGATTGTGAATGCTTCAGTCTAGTTTTATACTTTCAAGAAGAGGGGGAGCGGGGGGTTGTTATATCTTCAGTAAGTGGCAGTTTCATGAATCAAAATTTGTACTTTTTCTGACCTCAGTGCAGATTTGGTGTGTGCTATATAATTGGGTTTATATGCAAATGTCAGAAATGTGCATCAGAAATGAGGTTTCCTAAGTAATATTAGTGGTGACATATGCAATACTGATAATTGAAAAGAGTTGTCAATGTTCAAAGGATTGTTCTACTGCTAGCCTGAAGATTTGAGTTCAAATCCCTAGTGCGGCTGGTTCTATTTAGCAATGCTAAGCTCAATAGGGTGATTTCATCATGCAATTAACATGAAGTTTATCAATTTGCATACTTGCTGAGTAGCTGACAATGCTTAGGGTGGGGAATTGTCACACAGTTGATGTTTTTATATTTCATCAAACTGAGTTGTTACTACCAGTACAGTTATTCTACGAGTAAAGTTGCTGCTCAGGTTTCTGTTCCTCATTTCAACAACACTTCTACAATGGCAATGTAATAAAATACCAACCATGTTGGCATTTTGGTCAAGTTATTGGACAAATGGTCTCGCATGTAGTTAGTATATGTCCCTTGTATGCATGATAATTTGCTTGGTCGATTTAAAAGTCCATGCATATGGAGGGTTTGCATCTGATTAATATTGTGGTAGAGTTATTTCTCTCCTGCATGTATGGGGCATTTATTATTAAGTGATTTATATACACATATGTATGCCTGCATTCATATATAGGTTGATATTTAATAAATGAAATCAGCTTCAGATTGATCTGGAATTTGTATAACCACTGTCCTGATATCACATTTTTGAGTTTCTGTCAGGAGATTGACTGCTCCACACTCAACTCTCAATCATGTTCCGTTGTTTGGTTATGTGGTGGAACCCACTCACTTCCCACAGAACACACAGCATTTGAATTATCATTTACGTGTTTTGAAGAATTGGCCTCCCTTGTATGCTTTTGTTCATTCATTCCCTAGATTTCATTCTTTGGGAGCCATGCACATCAGTGCTGACATGGCTGAGAAATTTGATATTCTCAACGTCTGCCATTCTATACTTGGCAAGAATTCATATGAGAAGCAATGCTCGGTCAGGGAGGTTCAATCAATGCATCATATTGACTCTCCAGACAGTATTAGCAAGGAAGAGAAGGAAAGACAGAGACGAAAAAAAATAGGACTAGCCAACAAAGGGAGAGTACCATGGAACAAAGGCAGGAAACATAGTTCGGGTAACTAGAGATAGAGTGTAATTTTTTTTCTATTGGATTTTAAATCTCATACATTTGGTTGAATCTAAAGTTGTGATCTTCCACGTAATGCAGAGACTTGTGAGCGAATCAAACAGAGAACAATAGAAGCCTTAAAAGACCCCAAGGTGAAGTCATGTAAGATTCAATAAGTTTTATGATATTTTCTTCACGATATGGGTGTTTTTGAATTAGAATGTAAGAGTTTATATCAAAAGGCGCAATAACAGAATTGTTTTGAAAATGCTTGGAAGTTTGTCAATCATATTTTTGGATTTCCCTTTTCAGTTAAAAGCACTACACAACTCATGTAAGGAGAAAAGAAAAAGGCTTTCATTTTTCAATCAACTGTTTTTTTAATTAAAAATTGCTCTTTTGTTCACCCTCAATTGGTTTCAGGTTAGAAAGAAGATGTCTGAGCATCCCCGGCCTCATAGGTATACTCACAATCTTTGTTAGATATAATTAATTAGCTGTGAAACATAAGAACTTGTAAAGAAAGACAAATGCTGTGATTGATGCCTATTTGATTACTCTCAAAATGATTACATGTACGGAAGTCGGGAACTTAATGCTGTAAACTTGTCTGGAGGCACCTTTAAGATTGAACGAGTTCTAACGGTCACTTCTTGTTAAAATGGTTATTAGGCCTGTATGGGCCATTGGATTGTCATTTTGAATAATTTTTGCGTAATCATAAGAAGTACGGTGATGTAATGTAAAGGAAAGCAAACGCCCTAAACTATATGTTTATTTCTTTCTCGAATTCTCCTGTGAGAATAGTTTGCCAAGTTAGTCAATGTTTCATCAAAGGAAGAGGGGAAGAAATAAACTTGTGAAACCCCTTAAATGGGCCTCAGATTGTATTATGAACTTGGGATATCTACTTGTAAGCTTTATCTTCCTTGCCTTTTTTGGGAGGGAGGGAGAGAGATAACTTAGTTTAAGGTTTTTTAGGCCTGCTGAACAAGTAAACATGATTTTTTTGGTTTCATGAACATAATGTGACCAGTAGGAAGCCAATAGTTGTAGGTTGCAGCGCATCTTTGATGAAAGATACATTTTCTATTTTAGTTTGTTTTTTTCTTTGTTTGAAGTTATTTCTTGCTCTGAGTGACTGAGTCCAAGGCAAAAAATTTGACAAAAAAATGGATTGTTATGTAGCTCTGAGTCCAAGGCAAAAATGCGTTCTTCAATTAGACGTGTTTTGGGGCAGCGTTTAAAATGGAAACGGTTAAGGGAGAAATTATTTCTGTCATGGGTTGAAAGCATAGCAGAGGTGGCTAAGAAAGGTGGTAGTGGACAGCAAGAGCTCTGTTGGGATAGCTATGAGAAGATTAAGCAAAAATTACATCTCCAAGAGCTTCAGCTGGCTGCTGAAAAGAAAAAGGAAAGGGCGAAGGAGAGGGCAAAGAAAAGAGCAATGACAGCAGAACAAGTTAAAGAAAAAAATATGGCAAGGATTGCTCTTGAGAGGAGAAAAGATGGAGAAGTCTATGAAGATACTGAAGAGTTGACAGCTCTTCAAGGGCGGAATTGTAAGCGGAGATTAATGAAGGTAATTGCTCAGTAGCCCAGACAATACTAAATTATAGCTAGAAGCAATTATGTAGTTCACCATATATAAATTAGAAATACATGACATATCACTCACAAACTTAGCATAAATAAATAGTATCGCTAAGCATACAATGTTAAGTTCATGAGTAGGTCAAAGAGAAGTGAGTGTTGGAGGGGGAGGAGTATTCAAATTACAGATGAAATCTGTTTAACATTGAACCATAATGCTTTGATATATGTAAAGAAACTGACGGTGGATAGAAACAATGGGTAATTATTGCTTTTCATATTTGAGACAGGGCTAAGGTTAAAATCTTGTATATTGCAAAATTATTTTCCTGATTCATAAACCAGCTTGCAAAATTTCTTCTTCTTGAGGCCAATTTGAAATCTGCACTATCTCACCCTCTGTTCTTGATCTCTTCGCTTTAAACATTTAGGGAACCTTGCTAGATCAGCATATTAATTATTTTCCTTCATGTTCTCTAATCTGTTGCTTTTAAATGGCATCACCTTTTCCAATGTTGTTTGTTTGAGTGTGTTATTGAATTCTCTTTCTTCTTAATAGTTTGAAAGAAAAACTTCAACAAATGGACAAGCTGCTGCTCGAGGGGACATAGTCATGTCGCATATCTCAGCTTTTGAGAAACTGGATCTAGAGCTTATAAAGAGAGAAAAAATGCAGAAAGAATTTTCATTCGCAGACCAGATCAGAGCTGCCAAAAACAAAAGAATGGAATTAACTATGGAAGCCTCATCCTCTGTTCATGCAGCCAACAAGAAACCAGGGGAGTATGCTTAAATTTCCACATCCCTACCAGCAGTTGAAATAGAGGTATGAGGTGTATGGAGGGCAACTTTTTATCTTCTTTAAAGAGGGACAATTTGCTTGTTTTTATGTAGCTTAATGTTCATTTGTTGATGGTTTGTAGGAAGAGAAAATATCGGACTCTTGGATGCATTTTTCCAACTAGTCGCAAGAGTCCGGTCATTTGTTTTCAGGGCTGCATTCCAATTTTATATGGAAGAGGTCCATCTGGCGACAGTGCAGCGTTTTTATGTGAAAAATTTGTTAGGTGAATTTGTCATGACCAGAAATTATATGATCTGCTTTCAAGAACAGGAAATATCTGATTTGCCTTGCCAATATCCATGCTGGTTGTGATATTGACTTTAGACAGTCGAGTTAAATTGCAAATGTCTTACAACTTGTTTATTGCAGAGTTGTTATAAGCTGTATAGGATGTGTCATGATTTTTTTAACAGTAGTAAAAAAACTCGCGGATTTGGTTCTCTTTTAGTTTGTAAACAATTTTATTGTTCTGCAGGGGTTATGTGATGGATGCAAACTCCACAATAGAGCACCAAGGTTTTGTAAGTTAAACATGGAAGGAAGAAAACCATGAGTTTTGAGATTTGTAGTTTATTTTCTCCGAAATAAATTGGACAGCAGCATCATATATTATCTTTTCTTTTCTTCAAATCTATCAGAAACAGCATACTGAGGAGTTCATAACGATGTTGTAGTTTTTTTCCTGCAGCTGAACTGGGTTATGGTATTATATTTTCACTTGTTTGCATGAGTTTAGGGTTTCTTTTCCCTCATAACTTTATGAACCGAACAACATATATCCTTTAAATTTGAGTCTAGTTACTTTGAAATGAAGAATAATAAAAAAAAAGAAAAAAAGAAGGGTAAAGTAAACTGAAAATGCAAAATAAAAAGTACAGTATTAATAATATATATCTAGCTTCTAAGCCTTCCTTTCATCCTGTTGAGGGCGACTGTTATCATCACATAGAGCCTATCTTGTAGATTATCTATGAATTGAAAATACGCATAACTCCATGTCTTTTTAATAACTAAAGAACTACAAACTCCCCAAAATCCTATTATGAACCCCAACGCAACGAAAATATAAAACCATGGAAGTTGATGATGCCCATTGCCCTCGTCTTTGTTGTTCTTGTTATCTACATCCATGTCCTTATTTGGTCTGCACTTATTTGGAAGTGGGGCACCACAAAGTTTTGGATTCCCCTCAAAGGCAGAAGTGTTGAAGCTTTGGAGTTGGGTGCCTGTTGGTATTGGTCCTTCAAGATTATTGTATGGGACATTAAATTCTTTTAAGAAATTAAGGCTTGCCAATGATGATGGGATTATTCCAGACAAGTGATTCATTGGGAAGTCCAATACCTCTAAATTTTTGAGGTTAGATATTTGGTTTGGAATGACGCCGGAGAAATTGTTGTTGCCAAGAGCCAACCCTCGGAGAAGGTGCAATTGGCCGATCTCAGTAGGTATTTCGCCAACAATGCTATTGTTAGATACCTCTATCCATGGTGGATAAAAAGACAATTTCTGCCATGGAAAACTTTGAATTCCGGTTTTGATACTGAAGAGGAAGATCGGCAATTCAAATTCATATTTGTCTGCTTGAGATGCAATAGGTTCATAAAGCAACCTTGGTAGTCTACAAAGTTGCTTTGGAAACTCCCCTGAAATTCGGTTGTCTGACAAGTTTATAAAAAATAGTCTAGGAAAGAGTCCCCAACCAACTTGGCATTGGCCCTGTGATAACCATACAGGCATTTGACCAGTGAGGTCAGAATTAGCCAAAGACAATAACCGAAGATTTTGGAATCCGTCAAAATCAACCATGTCATCATCAGATGGCATTCCCTCACCATCAATATCTTCATTGCCCCTGTGAGGTTGGTGAATCGGTTATAACCAAGCGAGAGGAAGGACAAGGATTTCAATGAAAGAATCTCAGCTTGTATTTGTCCCTCTAGATGATTTCCAGCCAATCGAATGGCTTTTAGGGACCTACATGAGCAACTTGGAGAGCTTCCCCAAATTGAGAGGAAGCTTGCCACCAAAATGATTAAAGGAGAGGTCAAGGATGGCAAGGTTGGTGAGGTTGACAATTTTATCACTAATGGCTCCATGTAGTGAATTGAGAGGTAATGCAATTTCTTCAAGTTTGGTAACATTATAGATATCTTCTGGAAATAATCCTGAGAGGTTATTATGACCAGCACGAAAAACCTGCAGTTTAGAACACTTCCCTAGCCCAGGAGCAAGGTTGCCACTGAATACATTGGAAGAAAAATCCAATAGCCTAAGGGAGGGAGAAAGATGGAGACAAATAGAGGACAGAACATACCCGGTGAAGGTATTGTTGCTGACATTTAAACTAGTCAAGTTGCTTGCTTGTTGGAAGAATGAAGATGGAATTGCACCAAAGAAGAGATTGCTTGACAAATCAACTGTTCGGATATTGCTGGATGGTAGAGAAAGTGGTAGCTCTCCAGAAAGACGGTTATAGCTCAAATCAAGGATCTCAAGTTGATTTAAAGACAAGAAGAACTGAGTTTCAAGTGAACCATATAGGGAATTGTGGGAAAGGTTCAAGTGGGTGAGATATGTGAGATTTCCAAGTAAAGAGGGAGAGATACCTCCTTTAAGCCCTTTGGAAGGTAAGAGCAAACAAGTGACCCAACCATCTTGATCACAAGTGATTCCCTTCCAACGACAGCAATCAATGGATGTCCAATTTAAAGGAGGAGAAGAGAGAGTGGAGGCAAAGGACAGAAGGGACCTGCATTTAGTTTGTTTGCAGGCATGAATATTTGTGGATATAATGTAAGGGAATAAGACGAAGAGAAGGAAAGCATGAGCCATTAGGTTATAAGCTTGCACTAGCATGTTGCTTTGTGTATGTGCCGTTGCTCACATGTATATTTATATATATATAAGAGCAAACATCTAAACGAATTTGGCCAGTCTCCAATCTGAAGAGTTAATCCAGTTGCTGAAACCCCGTGTCAATTTTCATGCAAGAGGATTCGCCGATAATGGGGAGGAAGAAGTAGATGGGGTCAAGGAAGAGGCCCATGATGCAAATAACGAAGATGTGGTTCCAGAGGGTCACATGTTCGAATCTCGGTTTGAGGATCTGTTACCACCACGAGTACTTCTTCCGGAGCTAGAACGGGGTCGAGAAGTTGCGGATGCCAGTGGAGGCGGCGGAGTACGAGTGGAATGTGTGAACCATTTTTGGGGAGTTTTCGTATTTTTGGGGTTAGGTGTCTTGAGAGTTAGCAGGGCTGGTAAGTGCTGTTGGGGTTTTGGTAGATGGTGGTTGCTGGGCCGGGAGAACTCTTGAACGGGTGGGTGCTGTTAGGGTTTTTTTTACAATAGTTTTAATGTTTTTTAAAATTTTAATCTAATATTTTGAAGTTGTTAGCATCCATATTGGATTAATTCTTCAAATAAGTTTAGTTTCTAGCTTTTCTTAGGTGGGTGATGTAAGTCTTTAGAAGTCATTTTATCAAGGGATAAACTTGTCTTTAAAATATTGAGAATAAGGTGAGTGGAGAAATAGAATAGAGGGGTGGAAATAGCATCCATAAACATGATAATGTTTTTCTGTATGTCTCGTAGCCTGTCAATGGCCAAGTCAAATGGGTATTTAAAATAACAAATGTGTATTGCTTCAATTGGTGAAAACAATCCTGTTAAGTCTTTGAAATTAAAGGTAGGAAGTAATTATTAATAATAATAAGCATATTGTAATGGTTATTATGGAATGCATTTTAATATAAGTAGAATTTTCGAAATTATTTTAATATAAGTAGACTTCCTTGGTGGCTTTATTTTTTGCTTGTCTGGGGGATGAGAGAGAGAGAGAGAGAGAGAGAGAGAGAGAGTGTTGAGTTGATTTTTATTAAAATTCTTCTATTTTTTCTATTTCATATTTCATGTTATTTTATTTTTCAGTATTTAGTTATTTCTAATGTACAAATTGACCAATTTTTCCCACATATTTAACAGCAAATTGGATGAAATGTTGAGGATTTAGACGGCATGAAGGAAATTAATGAAAAATAAAAGTTCATATCAATAATTTTCCAAAAAGAGATAGGGGTAAATCGAAAGATAGGTATAAGTGTTCAGGGGGCAACTCAACAGTTAAGTACAAATTCCCAGATAACATTATGAATAGAACAACATATATTCTTTAAATTTGAGTCCAGTTACTTTCAAAAGAAGGAAAAAAAAGAAAAGAAAAGCAAACTGAAAATGCAAAATAAAAAGTACAACATTAATAATATATATCTAGCCTCTAAGTCTTGTTTTCATCGAGTTGATGCACACTGTTACCATCACATAGACCCAATCTTGTAGATTGTCTATGAATCGAAAATATCCGTATCTCCATGTCTTGATAATAATTAAAGAACCACAAACTCCCCAAAATCCCACAATGAACCCCAACGCAGTGAAAATATAAAACCATGGAAGTTGATGATGCCCATCGCCCTCGTCTTTGTTGTTCTTGTTATCTGCATCCATGTCCTTATTTGGTATGCACTTATTTGGAAGTGGGGCACCACAAAGTTTTGGATTCCCCTCAAAGGCAGAAGCGTTGAAGTTTTGGAGCTGGGTGCTTGTTGGTATTGGTCCTTCAAGATTATTGTATGAGGCATTAAATTCTTTCAAGAAATTAAGACTCGCCAATGATGATGGGATTATTCCAGACAAGTGATTCATGGAGAGGTCCAAAATCTCTAAATTTTTTAGGTGAGATATTTGGTCTGGAACGATGCCGGAGAAGTTGTTGGAGTGAAGAGACAGCCAGCGGAGAAGCTGCAATTGGCCAATCTCAACGGGTATAAAACCACTCATGTTATTGTTGAATAAGTATATTATTGCTGGAAACAAAGACAATTTTTGAGATAGAGAAAGTTGATTTGTAGTTTTTATGCTGCTGAAGACAGGCAATTCAAGTTCATATTGGTCTTCTGCTTGAGATGCAATATTAGGTTCATCAATCATCCTTGGTAGTCTACAAAGTTGCTTTGGAAATTCACCTGAAATTTGGTTGTTTGACAAGTGTATATAAAACAGTCTAGGAAGAGTCCCCAACCAACTTGGAATTGGCCCTGTGATTTAATTAGAACCTAGAGCCAAGATCTCTAGATTCTTGAGCTTTTATAACCATAAAGGTATTTGACCAGTGAGATCAGAATTAGCCAAACTCAACAATCGAAGATTTTGGAATCCATGAAAATCAACCATGTCATCATCAGATGGCATTCCCTCACCCACAAAGGAACCACTAAGCAAGAGTGCGTGAAGATTTTTGCAACTCATCAATATCTTCATTGTCCCTGTGAGGTTGGTGAATCGGTTGTAACCAAGGGAGAGGAAGGACAAGAATTTCAATGAAAAAATCTCAGCTTCTATTTGTCCCTCTAGATGATTTCGAAACAATCCAATGGCTTTTAGGGACCTACAGGAGTAAAGGCTTCTTGGAACTGTACCAGTGAAGTTATTCTTCCTTATGTCAATTTTAGTAAGTTGTCTAAGTCTAGAAAAATCAAGCATGGAGATATCTCCTTCCAAGTTGTTGGATCCCAAACGCAATTCTACAAGATTCGTGCAATTCATCAAAGATGGGGGCAAAGCACCTTCTAAATTGTTGAAATCAAAGGTCACAAACTTCAACTTGGAGAGCTTCCCCAAATTGAGAGGAAGCTCGCCGCCAAAATGATTAAAGGAGAGGTCAAGTATGGCAAGGTTGGTGAGGTTGACAATTTGATCACTAATGGCTCCATATAGTGAATTGAGAGGTAATGCAATTTCTTCAAGTTTGGTAGCATTATAGATAATCTTCTGGAAGTAATCCTGAGAGGTTATTGTGACTTGCACGAAAAACCTGCAGTTCAGAACACTTCCCTAACCCAGGAGCAAGGTCACCATTAAATAGATTGGAAGAAAAATCCAATAGCCTAAGGAAGGGAGAAGAATGTGGGAGACAAATAGAGGATGGGACATACCCTATGAAGCTATTGTTTCTGACATTGAAACTAGTCAAGTTGCTTGCTTGTTGGAAGAATGAAGATGTTTGTGCCTAATAAATCACGGCCATGAACTGACCAAAGGAGCCCCTTTTCTCGGCCCTGGAATTTGCTCAAACGCAGCGTTTCACCAAGTTGTTTTGCCTTCCTGGAGACAAAAGGAACGTTGCCAAGGCATGATCATCTCGGCCTCGATAATAGGCCGAGGCCGAAGCCGAACAAAATCGCGGCCAATGATATCAGAATCAAATCATCACGTGATAGCAGGGTCCCATGCTTCATTTAATGAAGTAATGCCTCTGTTTGTTGCAGCAAACCCACTGGCCACGAATAAGCATTTAATGCATGAGGGAAGGTGGGAAGTGACTGAAGTCAGGGTTTGGCGACAGGAAAGAGTGATTAGACGTGGACATTCTCACAAGAATTCTTGCAGCTTGAGAGAGTAGGTCACCAGCCATCAGAGTAATAAATGCGTCCCCACGGCCAGAGGCGCAGGAACCCACGATCAAGGCGGCGGCCGAGATTCACCAGGATTTATGGGGTCACACCACCATACTTCACGATCCTAGATGTCGATTGGACTACCCACTTGCTCTAATCAGACTCCACTATGCAGGATTTCAGCCTCGATTACTCCTCCAGGAACCCTTCCTATAAATACAAGGCTCAAGACTACTTTCAAATGGTTCAAACACCAAACCAAAGCCTCCCACGGAGCAACTTATATTTTCCTGTAATGCACTTTCAATATCTTTACTTGTTTTCCTAGGAGTAGTGTTAGACTGTAATGAAGATTCATTCATCAATATATCATACGACCCTTGACTTTCAAGGCGCCAGAGCACCATCTCTGTTACTCATTCATTCACCCCATATATCATACGACCGCCGCTCACTGAGCAGCGCGCCGGAGCACCGCCCAAAACCCACCAACACCATCACTAAACGGCCTTGTAGCTCAGGCCGTGAACCTAACAGCCGAGATTAGTTCCTCTCTCGGCTACAATCGTTTGATTAGAAGACGAGTCTAAACAGGCGCACCACTCAACCATTTCCATCCACATCAACTTCTCGACGCATGGTAGACCGTGCTGGCACGCCCGCGCACAACCGCACCGCACCCAAAAGCAGGAAGCCGCGTGTCAACGCATATCCCCTCGGCCCGGAAACCCAGGCCGTGAGATCTGCGCGGCAGACAGAAGATGGAATTGCACCAAAGAAGTGATTCCTGGACAAATCATCTATCTGGATATTGCTGGATGGTAGAGAAAGTGGTAGCTCTCTAGAAAGACGGTTATAGCTCAAATCAAGGATCTCAAGTCGATCCAAAGACAAGAAGAACTGAGTTTCAAGTGAACCATATAGTGAATTGTGGGAAAGGTTCAAGTGGGTGAGATGTGTGAGATTTCCAAGTAAAGAGGGAGATATACCTCCTTTAAGCCCTTTGGACGGCAAGAGCAAACGGGTGACCCAACCATCTTGATCACAAGTGATTCCCTTCCAACGACAACAATCAATGGATGTCCAATTTAAAGGGGAAGAAGAGAGAGTGGAGGCAAAGGACAGAAGGGAGCTGCGTTCAGTTTGTTTGCAGGCATGAATATTTGTGGATATAATGTAAGGGAATAGGAGGAAGAGAAGGAAGGTATGAACCATTAGGTTATAAGCTTGCACTAGCATGTTGCTTTGTGTATGTGCCATTGCTCGCATGTATATTTATATATATAAGAGCAAACATAACTGCAAATTGAGAAGTCGGCAAACAACTACACAATGCAAATTATTGATATTGAAACCCCTCTATACGTCGAAGATATA